AGGAACAGAGGGAAAAGGATCCCTTGGTATGTATGTACAGGTTTTTAATGAAAACTGCTTTCTAAATGACAATACAAGTGTTCATTAGATAAGGTTGGTGTTTAGCACTAAGTCTCCCACAGAGAGAATTCTTGGCACAGAAGCTTTGATTATATAAATTTTGTGTGAAAAATGCAAAGTGCCATAATGTGGGACTTTGATCAGTGCTGCTATTCTGATTTACAATTGAGGTTTTTTTAACTATGATGGGCACAACACACTAATTTAAAAGCTTATTTTAGGTGTAATTTACCTCTTCCTTTCAATAGCAAGAAAGTAATCTGATTGCATTTTTTCAGCCATCCTTGTGCAATGTATTAGATACCTTCCTTATAGTTTAAAACTAAAAATGCTAATGGATTGGGCAAATGGGTTTCTGCTTTCACTCAGCATATCTGTCTTTTTTATGCTTGTCTTTTGGATCATTTATCTAAATAATAACCTTTAGTACCTACTCCTTCCTTCCAATGAATTAAAAGATATTAATGATTAAAATCAGTGAATATGCATCTTCTCCCTACTTGAGTTTTGCCAGCTGAGGTTTCCATTTTCATCTCATGCTTTTTTTGGAGGGGAGGGGGCAAGCTCCAGACATCCTTGTGTGAAATACTCATGGTTGCTTTCTAATTTGTCTCAATCAAACAGCCTAAGTGAGATTAAATTAATGGTAGATCTCTTTTAAAGAGTATCACCAGTGAGTACTGACTCAAATGACAGTGATTTCAGGTACTAAAAGAGAGAAATTACATTAAAAACTCAGGAAACAGCTTTCAGTCAGCAAATCTGTTGGGGCAGACCCACAGAAGAAGCAGGAATTATGCCTCAAGGGGAGGTGCTGTGGGTGGAACTTCCTCAGCCAACAAACCTGGAGATGCAGAAGGATACACTTTGTCTTTACACAACTTACACTTGAGTCTCAGAATGATGAAAGGAAGCAAATTTTGTACAAAGGAAGCAGAGAGAAGATAAATGACCAGCCCAAGGTCAGGTACAAAGATGATGGAAATGTGGGAGAAAGTGCCAGAACAGATATTTTTCTAGACTCTTCGTGTAGTCAGTTTTCAGCAGGCCTGGCTAAGCTGTCTACAGACCAAGACTGCAGGAATTCCTTAGCACATATACCCTGGGGAAAAAAACAAAACCAAACAAAAACCCAAAAACAAACAAACAAACCCCTAACAAACCAACAACCAAAAAAACTCCAGCAAGATTCTGAACAACAGGGTTGTATCTTTAAAACACTACAGAAATCACTTTCTTCACCTACCAATACCTTCTGCAAAAGATGGGACTGAAACATCAGAAGAGCCAGCAACTTTGTACTGCCTTAAGACTCTGTGAAATGTTTTCCAGATGAAAAGTGTCCTTCCACAGACAATCTTTCCCAGCAGACCAAATTTCAGTTCTGCTGATCCCAGTGGTGACAGTATGACATGGGGAGAGGCAGTACCTCCAGTACACGGATGCTGTGCTGGGTACTCATAGCAGAGTCACTTGCACTGTTCGGAGGCTCTCAGTGCTTGGAATAAATTCATTCCAGCAAGAAGCTTTTATTCTGTAGAGTCAAAAAAGCTTTGTGTTTAAAGCCATGTTCTTACATTAATCAGGCTGTTTTCTCCTTTGATGAGAACAAAGAGCCACCCTTATGAGCTCAGTCAAAAAGTCTTTCTGGTGCTGCTTTGATATTTCCTGTGGTGATAAATATTCTCAATAACTGCAAATTACAAAAGAGCCAGAATCTACCTATGGGCATTATGTAGTCACTAAGGCACATTTTCATGGCATGTGGGAGGTGATCAGGGGACAATAGCAGATAGGCAGCTAAAGGAATTGTATTCTGCTCATTCTGCTGAGGGCCGGGAAATAATAATCCATGAATATAAAGTAATAGGAAAGGAAATCTGTTAACAAAGATTATCTCAGCAGGAAGCAAAAATGCTATATGAACTTTCATTTCCAGTGAATCATGCCATTATGCTCAATTTCATTGCAAATGTGAAGCTTGTCCTCGTGGCTTGTTCTCTGATGTGGGATCACTGTCAAAAAAAAGAACAATTACAAAATGTTCCCTTAATTCCAAATTCCTGTTTGGTAAGTGATTCTCACATGATGCAGAGATCTAAAAGTGAAATTTGTGACATGGAAACTGGATTTCCTTCTTTTCTGGTATTTAGACACCACAGGAATGTTGGAAGAGTCCCTGGCAGGAGTTTCTCATTTATTCACATTTTAGACCTTAAGAAGACTGTATTTAGCAGGTACTCAAAGCCAAATTGGTAAATGTGAAATAATAAACCACAAAATTCTGGAATAGAATCTGAAATACTGTTGTAATGTATTTCTTTTGATATGGCACCACTAGATTTGAATTCTGGATGTTGAACAGATTGGCATTTATTTAAATATTACATTTTCTTGACTATGATATTTATATTTTGTCTGAAATACAGTTTTAATTCTTTGAAAGTATTTTTACTTCAAAAACAGGTAACAATAATTCTATCCATTTATTTTTTTGTACCAGTAACATGCCCATTTTCACCCAAATTTGGGATCATGGGGTTCAGCAAAATACATGCTCTTCACATTTTGCTTTGTGACATGAATTATTGAAGAACACAAATACTGGCATTTTCTCTCTTTGAAGATGCATGAAATTTCCCATTATTGGAAAGCTGTCTTGCCCTGAATAACAAATTACATGATGAGACACAAGGAAGATGCAAATCTTAGGGTTCTAAAAGCACCTAATATTTTCTCAAATTATATTCAGCTGTATTTATCTTGCATTCTGGCATGCTGCTGGATTACTGTTATCAATAAATCTATAAATAGGATGCAAAATGCATGTGAGCTGTCTGTGCAAGAATAAAGAGTGGCCCGGCAATAAATTACAACATAATATATAGTTTAAAATGTAGCAAAAAGGAATGCCTTGACAAATCAATGCAACATATTTTGTCAGTGAGGATGAAAGATTCATTATGCATCAGCCTTGAAAAAGCTGAATTTCTGAGGCATGGGTCATCTAGGACATATGATGTAATCAGAGAATATGGAAACATGCATAGAAAGACAAAAATAATCTTCTGAGTAATAAAGCCATATTAAATTGTCAGGTAAAATCTAAGTCCTGTGCAGTACTTCACTGTCCAAAAGAGGTCAGGAGTACCACAACAAGCAAATGAAACCTAACTTCCTCTGGATTTGGTCCCCACAGCAGGTTCAAGCCCAACCGATTTTCTGAAACTGGGTTATGTGTGCTGGTTTTCATTAGTGTTTTTCTCATGTCTGCTAAGGTTTTAGCTCATATTGAGGCTCTTTAGTAGAGCCAAGAAATTCGTTCCTCTGCCCAGTTTTCAATGAAACTTGGAAAACTGTTTTGGGGAACTCCAGGCATCTGCCAGACATGACTGGCTCACACCCAGCAGGCTCCATAAGCCTGGAGCACAGCGGAGACTAAAAATAAGACGGAGCAATTGGTTGTCCTGCTGACAGCAGCAAACTGCCATGGGACATTTCATTTCCCCTGATCACATGGATGACAGACAAGCTGTCACCAGCTGTGCAGAGCCAGGAGGATGCATACCTGTGGCAGGGACACAGGCCCCAGCAGTGGAATTCCTGCAGTAAGGGAGACTCCACATCCTCTCCGGACAATCTGTTCCAGTGCATGGTCACCCACACAACAGTTCTTCATCATGTTCAGGTGGAACTTCTGTGCATCAGTTCTCACCCATTGCCTCTTGTGCTATTGCTTGGTACCACTGAGAAGAGCCTGGTCCATCCTCTTGGCACCCTCCTATAGATATTTATATACATTATTGAGGTCCCCTCTCAGTCATCTCTTTTAGAGGCTGAACAAGCCCTGCTCCCTCAGCCCTTTTTCATAAGAGAGACGCTCCAGCCCCTTAATCCTCTTTGTACCATCCACTGGAGTTGCCCCATGTCTCTCTTGTCCTGAGAAGCCCAGAACTGCACACAACATTCTGGATGTGCCTCACAAGGGCTGAGTAGAGAGGCAGCATCACCTCCCTGACCTGCTGGCAATACTCTTCTGAATGCATTTGAAGATCCCATGGCTTCCTTGGCCACAAGGACACACTGCTGACTCATGGACAGCTTGTCGTCCATCAGCACCCCCAAGTTCCTCTACAGAAGGCCATGAACATGCATGTTGGCTCTGGCACACTCAGGAAGAGACACCTGAATTTGGCAGTGTTGGAAGAGGCTTGAAATGTGGTCTTGGCAGGTGGAGGAGTGTCAGGGGCTGGTGTCCCTCAGCTCCTTGTGAGGCATCAGCAAGAGCCTCGCGCCCCACGGGAGCCTTGTGACCACAGCCAGAGCTGTGAAGGACACATTGCTCCAGTCCCTGGTGTAAGAGGAGGGACAAGCCTTGCATTTTCTTTCTGGAGCATGTCTAAAAACAGGCAACAAAGCTGGTGGAGGGTTTGTAGCATAAATTCTATAAGCAGTGGCTGAGGGAGCTGGGGTCATTTATCCTGGAGGAAAGCAGGCTCAGAAGGGACCTTAGCACTCTCTACAAACACCTGAAAGGAAGCTGTAGTCAGGTGGGAGATGGGCTCTTCTCACAAGTAACAAGTGATAGGACGACGGAACACAGTTTCAAATTGCACCAGAGGATGTTCAGGTTGTTCTTCACAGAAAGGGTGACTGGAATGGACTGCCCAGGGAAGCGGTAGAGTCACGGTCCCCGAAGGTGTTTTCTTAAACACTCTACTTAATGCCACGGTCTAGTTACCGTGATGGTGTTCGGACTCGATGTCGAGTCCATAGGTTGCACTCGACGATCTCAGAGGTCTTTTCCAACCTAATTTATTCTATGATAATGCACGAAGGAGGGGATCTCTACAGACCGAGAGCTCTTGATGCAGCACTCCAGGCTCCCGTCCCCTCAGCGCTGCAGCCGCCGGCGCCCAGCAGGGGGCGCTGTGCCCGGCATGGCGCCCACGCGGCGGAAGCGGCAATCCGGCCCCTCTCCAAGATGGCGGCGCCCAGGCGCGGTGCGGCT